AACCTTGAACCCTAAACCCTAATCCTGATCCCCAAAACCGTGATCTCCAAACCAGAAAAACCAAGGCCCAAAACCCTAGAACATCCTGAGGCCCCAAGCGCCAAGCCCCTTCAAGGAACCCTTAAAGGGAGCCCTTAAAGGGAGCCCTTACAGGAACACTTCAAGTAGGGGTTTAGGGTTTAGGGTTTAGGGTTTAGGGTTTACAGGAACCCCCTAAGCCCTTGACCTATTCGGGGTTCGAAACCGCAGCATGTCAGGCCACACTGACACCGAAGGAGGCGGTACAGGCCGTGGAGGCCGCGTCTAAGGCCTGGTCACGAGGACGGGGTGGTGGGGTGAGTTATCATCTAGACTTGCTATCTAAGGGTTGCCTTATTTTACCGAAGTCTATCGGGATTCTACGGTGTTTCCTGTAAGATGCGGTTTTCTGAGAGACTGAGAAACCTCGGGGGTGGGCCGCCAGCTCTTCTTGCGAGCGTTGTACTTACCGTGCTGTTTGTCTGTGTTTACCCAGCCCCAAAAGGATCTAAAAAATAGATCCCCTAATTAGGGACCCTAAGTACTAAAGTTATTACAAGGTACTTTATAGGACCCCCTTAGGGGATCTATTTTTTAGACCCTTTTGGGGGTCTGGGTAGGTGACCCCACCAGAGCACTAAGAGTACTCACCAGAGGGCGGAGCCTCCCTCTAAACCCTAAACCCTGCCAACCCTACGTGCTCTACCCATAGGCCCCATCGTAGTTCCTTTTTGGGATTCCCTAATATAATCCTAAATATAAGCCACAAAAAGGAACTACTATGGGGCCTTTGGGCATCCCTTAAAGAGTAAACCCCAAACCCTAAACCCCAAAACCCTAAACCCTAAAACCCTAAAACCCTAAACCCTCAACCCTAAACCCCAAACCAAACCCTAAGCCCTGAAACCTATATAACCCTAAATATAAGCCACAAAAAGGAACACCCTAAACCCTAAACCCTAAGCCTGGGCATCCCTTAAAGAGAAAGATTCCCCGATGCCGCGGAGGACGGGGGGCTTGGCCTCGGAAGACGCCGCTGCAGCGCGCCGAGGCTGTCTGAAAGCTTACGCTTCCTTTTAATAGGGCCCCCCAAAATGCGGTTTAGGGTTTAGGGTTTAGGGTTTAGGGAGTAGGGTTGGGATATCCCATATAAACTCCCTTATGAAGCCCAATAAGGTAGGGATATCCCTATGAAATGCTTATGCTTATGTCCTTTTCGGGGTTCCTTTCAAAGGGTTCCTTCAAGGGTTCCCTGTGAGCTGTTCCGTACAGGGCTTAGGGTTCAAGGTTTAGGGGTTCAGCCGGGTTCAGGGGTTTAGGGTTTAGGTTTTAGGGCTTAGGCTTTAGGGTTTAGAATGACATGTGTGAGGCTGCGGGGTCTGAGAAGGGGTTTTTTTCAAAGGGCATATGATGCTTCGGGTGTTTCCAGGGGTTTAGGGTTTAGGGTTTAGGGTTTAGGGTTTAGGGTTGTCTGTTTGGGCTTTCTGCAAGGAGTTCCAGGTTGTACAAGCAGGAGTATTCGGGATGCCCAGCTACATCTCGGGGTTGTCCGTGGGTGATGCCCGTCCGGTTGGTAGTACCGTCTTATGTCGTCATAGCTATCGCGTCCAAAAGCTATAGCCACGGTAGCCCAAGGCACTAAACCGCATAAGAAAACCCTAAACCCTCTAAACCCTAAACCCCAAACCCCTAAACCCCTAAACCCCTAAACCCTAAGCCCTAAACCCCTACACCCTAAACCCTGAACCCCATCTTTATCGACTCTGGGTCTCTCGATCCCTGGGACACGGCTTGATCTCAATTTCGGACTCCCGACCCTAAACCCTTAAACCCCTCCCTGAGCCCTTTAGACCCCTGAAAAAGCCCTAAACCCTATAACCCCCGGACCCTAAACCCCTGAACCCCTAAAACCCCAAATCTGAAACCCCTAAAAACCCTAATCCCATAGAGAACCCCTATGGAGCCCTTTAAAGGAACCCTTAAAGAGTCCCATTTTAGGGGAACCCTAAACCGCGTTTGATTCAAAGCGCTCGCAGTTTTTTTTTTTACCTGGCCATGAGAGTTTGGGGATGAACCTTCAGGCGGTAAGGTTTAGGGTTTAGGGGGTTTAGGGTTTAGGGGTTTAGGGGTTTTAGGGGTTTTAGTGGGTTTAGTTAGGGTTTAGGGGGTTTAGGGGTTTTAGGGGTTTTGGGGGGTTTAGGGGGTTTAGGGTTTAGGGGGTTTAGGGGGTTTGGGCCGGCGGTTTAGGGTTTAGGGTTTGGGGTTTCCCTTAGCATCAAAATAGCCCAAAAGCCTTATATTAGAGTCTTTGGGCTCAGAAGCCTTAAACTATGAGTCCTTTGAGGGTAGGGGTTTGGGTTTAGGGCTTTGGGTTTAAATGGGGTTTAGAGTCTAGGATTTTTAGGGTGCGGGCCGTTCAGGTTTTAGGGGTTTGGGTTTTAGGGTGTATGGGTTTGGGGGTATAGTGGTTTACACGCCGGGGCTGTAGGCGAGAATTCCAAGTTCAGAGATCAGGAGTTGGGTGAATCCTAAACCAAACCCCTAAACCCTAAACCCTAAACCCGAAACCTTGCGCCAGGCCGTGGAGAAGCTTGTAGAACGACTGCGATCGCGCCGCGAAGAGATCGTGGCTGCTTTGCAGTGGGAGATCTGCAAGAACGACGGGGACGCTGCCAAGGAGTCCCCGTCCTCAAACCTGAGCTCTTATGTCTTGTAGAATCGAAGCCTAAAACGGTTTAGGGTTTAGGGTTCAGGGTTTAGGGTTTAGGGTTAAATAATTAGCAATGTTATTTTTCTTAGGGTTCCTATTCCTCAGGGTTCCTTATTATAAGTATGCTACAAAGGAGCCCAAAGCCCGATATTCAATTATTAAGGCACCCACATCAAGGCTTTTGTTGTTAAGTTACCAGTTACCACGATATCGAAGCCCCATGTCCTACTATAGATCCCTATTTTGATCACAGAAGTAACGGGGAGGATTTAGAGTTTTAGGGTCTAAACCGAAACCCCAAATCCCAAACCCTAAACCCTAAACCCTAAACCCTAAACCCTAAACCCTAAACCCTATAGGGTGTAGAGACCCCAGGGCTTGCGTCTGCATTAGCCCCAACGGCTCGGAAGCCTCACACCCTGAACCCTTGGCTTCGACCTGGAACCTAAGATAAGGGGCCTAAGTACTTACCCATACTATTTGTGGGGGGGCTCCTTATTATACTTATAGTATAATTGGCCCCAAAACCCTGTTCTAATTATTACGGCCC